TGGAGATACTCCCCAAAAGTTGGCCCCCAAGACAGAACATGAATCATTCACAGAATATGTTTTTAGGGAGATCATAGATTTGCTGCATGGTTTCTGAACTTGAAAGGTATCCTTTAAATATTAGTCTGAACAGATGGGTGTGTAGATGGATAAATGGATGGATGAGTAGGTGGGTGGATAGATGGTTGGATGAATGGATGGATACATAGGCTGGTCAGTGGGTGGATAGATGGATGTGTGGATAGAGCCATGGGAGTACAATAGAGACACTCATGGAACAGGTAAGGAGAGAGAGTTACTCACTCCAGTGACCATATCCTCTTGCTAAATGTTGACAAGTTCAGTTTTGTAGAAAAGAGTAGGAGACCAGAAATGGGCAGTCCCAGGACATAGCAGATGTGTGGCCTAAGTGGCCTTTGCTTCTGAGACAGCCTTCCACCTATGCTAGGGTTGCCACCTTAGCAAATGAAAACACAGTTAAATCTGAATTAAATTAAATTTGAATTTTAGTTGTACAATGACTATCTGCCCTTGTGATATTTGGGACATTCTTATACTAAAAAATGGTTCGTCTTGCACCTAAAATTAAAGTTCCCTGAGAACACTGTGCTTTATCCAACAACTCTAAACCAGGCTACCCGGTAAATGACCTGGTATAGGCAGATGGGGGAAATCCCGGCACATAAAATGCCAGTGTTTTGAGGACTCATGTCCTATTGCAGGGATAGGTCTTAAAGACCAGGAAGAAAGAAACCTCCAGCAACTGCTTTCACCTCTTTCCCTCATTATAGAAAGGATTCTGGGTGCCAAATGTGGCAGGTCTATAAATAGTGGTGTAAATTAGAGTGGCAAAAACACACACAGACGCCTTTGGCCTTCAGTCCACCGGATCCCAAAAGGAAACCATCCAACCCAGCGACTATTTATTAAATGTGAAACATAAAGTTTCATTTGTAATGGGATTTGCAGAATACGAGCACAGAGGGCCTTTCTACTTTGAACCTTTGGAGAAAGTCTTCATGGGTTTTTTTTCCAAGATTCTTAAAACAAACATGTTCACATGCAGTGACTGTCGCTGTGGAGAATCGGATGGTTGTCACAACAGAAGTCCTGGTCAGCCCTTGCACAGGTGCCATTGCTCTCTCCCTTTAAATTAAACACCACTTTAAGCTTATTTTCTTCATATGTACAGGAGCCATGGGAGAACATTCTAGAAGTAAAGGAAATCTTGCCTCCCCCCTTTCCTCCTGCACTAATCATAAGTTGACATTTAAACCTCCACAGAGAAGGAAAAAAAGAAAGTGGACGAGAGGGCTGAAGGGATCAGCCACCCCCTCTTCCCAAGGCAGGTGAAAGACAGTCCTGTTCCCTGCCACCATTCCTGGCAGATGTGTGACACCCAGCATCAGTAACAGACTGGATGACTGCTTCCCCACATTACAGCAGCACCTCCATCACCGTCACCTCCACTTCCCACATGTGTCACTAGTCATCACTCTCGGCCAGTGTCCTTATTTACATGCTTGTGTCTCTGCGGGCCATGCTCCACCAGCAGCCAGAGAGGGCTTTGTAAAATGCCGTTCCCTGGTTTAACCTTCCGGTGATTCCAGTGAGTACAACTTCCCACTCCTGTGGTTGTACGTGATGTGGCGTTACACTGGTCGTGTATTCATATATGAACATGGGAAAGTTATGTCCAGTTCATTCGACTGTCTTTCCCATTCCCCCCCCCTCCCCGCCAGCTTCAGAACAACTTTTGATCCTGAAACCCAAAGCAGCCCCCCTTCCCCAGCCTCCCCACCTTATCCCCCATTTATCAGGGTACATGCCACTACTTGATTGCTTTTTTCTTTCTTTAGATACTATCTTTATCCTCAAGATACATTTTAAAAAATCCATTTATCAAATTTGACCCATGTCCTCAGCCCCTAGAAAAGCACACAGTAGGCTGTCAATAAATGAGGAATGTAATCAATGAATCTGATGCAGAAAGTTTCAAAGCTTCAGCATATCACCAGGCATCAAAACCTCATGAAAACAGTGTCCACACAGCTGCTGATAATGATAGCAAACGCTGACCCAGGGTTACTACATGCCCAAGCACTTTACATGAATACACATGTAATTATCCCTGAAAATTGTGTCTTCTTATTGTTTATTTTAGAGACAAGGGAATATAACCCAGATGGGAAAAGTAACTTGCTCTTAATCCCACAGGGTAAGCAGTGAAGTCAGGGTGTGCACCCAGGCAATCCAACTCGAACTGATCACTGCACTGTGATCACCCCAACCAAGGCCCAAATCTTGGCACACAAAGGGGCCTAGGTCCAAACTGGTTTCTGGAAGATATTCCCGTGAGGCTTTTGGTTGTTTATGTTACTTTGTTTTATACTATTTGTTGATTTCTGCTCATCTGTTCAGTGTTAGGAGAGGACCACCCGTGATTTGACTAGAATCAAAAGAAAACCAAGAACAGAGGATGCAGGAGGTGAGTGGAGGCCTCTGCAGACCCTCTGTCTTCCATGTTGACCCACCATCCATCTGTCAATCACTCCACAAGTTTGCAAGCACCAACGCCCAGCTGCTCACAACTCTAGACACACTCATCAGCCAAGAGGTGGTGAGTACGGTGGAGAGACAGAGGGAGGTAGGGATGGGTGTTGGCGGAGAGGAAGGTGCCGCTCCACAGGAGAGACAGTGTGAAGATTGGCCAGAAGTTCCATGTGGCATCTGGGAACCAGATGCTCCAGGCAGAGGGGACCATGTGTAGAAGCCCGAGGCAGGCAGGTGCAGGGAGTGTTCCAAGGATGAGCAAGAAGCAGGCCTACGACAGCAAGTGCAGAGAGCGAAGTCAGAGGAGGAGGAAGGGGGTCTTATAGGTACTGTTCAGTGCTTAGATTTTACTCTCGGTGGATGGGAAGCCGTGGCTTGTTTTACATGTGCAGACTGTCACTCTGGCCACTCAGAGACTATGGGAACAAAAGTGTGAAGAGTAAACCAGCCATGGAAGTAGTTCTGCCACTTAGTGGACATTTGGAAATTTCTAGGGAAGATTTTGGTTGTCCCAAATGGGGAAAGTGGTGGATGCTATTGGCATCTAGTGGGTTGAAGCAGGTGTCTTAGTTCATTTTCATTGCTATAACGGAATGCCCAAGACTGTGTAATTACGAAGAGAAGAAGTTCGTTTGGGCTTTGGAAGCTGTGAAGTCCAAGGTCAGACAACTGCATCTAGTGGTGGCCTCATGCGGCTGTGCTTCACAATGGAAAGGAAAGAGGGCATATGGAGGTAGACTCACTTTATAGCAGCCTCATTGCTCAGTAATAAACCCAGTTCCACAAGAGCAAGAGCTTAGTCTTCCGAGAAAGGCATTCACGAAGGCTCCATCCCACAACCCAAACATCACTTCTAGGTCCCAACACTGCCCCACTGGGGAATTAGGGTTCCAACATGTGAACTTCTGGGGGACATACTCAAACCCTGGCACCAGGGATGCTGCTAGTCATCCTACAGTCATCGGACAGCTCCTGCCACCAAGAATTATGGGCCCAACATGTGAATAATGCCAGGGCTGAGAAATCCAGAATTAGGGATTACTGCCATCTTCAAGGAAGAGTCACTCGTTGTATAGCTTCTGGGCACTTAGGCAGTGCCAGGTACCATTCCCAGAACTGAGGACACAGCAATGAGTAAACCAGGCAAAGGTGTCTGCCCTCACGGAGCTCTGTGTGGCAGTGATGGTGGAAGCCAAAAAGAGGCTGGGGTGCAGGGGTGGCGAGAATGATCCGATTTTAAAAACATCTGAAGGTCAACTGCCAGGATTTGCTGAGAACTGTGCTGCAGTAGGAGAGGAGTCTCTCAACCCCGGGGGCTTCACTTTGAGCAATTGGAACTGAGTTATCATGCACTGAGATGGGACCTCCAGGGGAGAAAGGGATGGTGGGGATGGAAAATCAGGGGGTGTTGTTTTGGATAGAATAAGTGGAAATGAGGGCAATTGGGTATTTTAGTCTGGAGGTCAAAAAAAAAAGAGAAAGGTCTCTTTTGTAGGAGATAACATTTAGAAATTGTCAAGGGTGAAGGAGATCACTGGGGGGCTCTGCCGATAGAAGACATACATGCAGCAAGCCTGAGCTCCCATCATGGAGACTGGAGACCAACGAGCAAGAGAAGACAGCACAGGAAGAGGGCAGGAGGCCAAATGAAGGCTGAATCTCCAAGAGGAGAGAGTGATCAGACCATGCCAGGAAGAAAATCTGAATCCCACCTCATCCCTCTTTGCTCAAATGACAAGTTTCTCCAGGGTGGCATTGGCACAACCTGGTTCATTCAGGAAGCTGTGAAGTCCAAGGTCAGACAACTGCATCTAGTGGTGGCCTCATGCTGCCATGCTTCATAATGGAAAGAAAGAGGACACATGGAGGTAGACTCACTTTATAGCAACCTCATTGCTCAGTAATAAGCCCACCATCTCTCCAGGGATTTTCAGCCTCTCTTAGGGGTGTGTTATGGTTTGGATGTGAGGTGTCCCCCAAAAGCTCACGTGTGAGACCATGAAAGAAAGTTCAGTGGAGAAATGATTGGATTATGAGAGCCTTAACCTAATCAGTGCATTAATTTGCTGATAGAAATTAATTGGGTGGAAACTGTAGAAATGTGGGATGTGGCTGGAAGAGGCGGGTCACTGGGGGGCATGCCTTGGGGGTATATATTTTGTATCTGGCGAGTGGAGTCCCTCTCTGTTTTCTGATCATCATGTGAGCTGCTTCCCTCCGCCACACTCTTCCGCCATGAAGTCCTGCCTCACCTGGATCCCCAAGGGATGGAGTCGCTGTCTATGAACTGAGACCTCTGAAACCGTGAGCCCCCAAATAAACTCTCCTCCTCTACAGTTGTTCTTGTCATGTCTTGTAGTCACAGCAGTGAAAATAGCTGACTAAAACAGGGTGATTCAGTCAGGGGTAATTATTAGGTATTTCTAAGCAATAAATTGAGCTAGATGTTGTGCAAGATGCAAAAGTGTTTAATACACAGTTCCTGTCCTCATGAAGCTTCCTCTCAGAGAAAACACCCCGTCCACAAAAGCTTCCGCAACCTCCAAAGAAGAAATTAATCCATCAAGACTCATTGTCTGCTATATTCATAGCACTCTGCTTGTTGCTGAAAATATAAAAGAGAACTGTCAGACAAGCTGTTTCCTCTCACAGATTTTCAATCTAGCTGGGGAGACTGGAGTCAACTCAAAAGAAATATTTAGAGTAGGAATAAAGGCATAGTTACCGTGCAGAGTGTAAATGCACCAGGCATTTGCAGAAAAAGGGAATCATTCATGCTGAAAGCTCCTCTTACTGATCTCTAGCCTGAAATGCTACCTTTCGCTGTGGTTCACACATGCATGGGAAAATGGAACTCTCAAGGAGGTTGAGGATCTGGCAAGAGGACGTGAATATATTAGCATAAGACCAAGACAGCCTCCAAGAAAGGGACCCCAGAACACCCCGACAACCCACTGGCCCTAAGAGAAGGCTTTTCCTAGATGCTCAGCTCCATGATTAAGCTTCCACCAGGAATGGAGGTGGAAGTGGAATTAGGGCCAACATGGAGCTGATACGTCTTGGTCTCTCTTCTCATTCATTAGCTCCTAACTGTTACCTTCCCCAGAAGTGACCAGATAAAAGGGGTTTTGCATTTGAAATGTTGAGACTTTGGAAAAATCAATTTCCACACCAATTTCTCCCTCAGTTCGGATACAGTAACCCAAAATACTTCTCAATTCTGCATACACAAGCATTCTAGGGGCCAGTGCATGAATTTCTGCATAATATAAGCAAATCTTCACATTACACTCAAAGCCTTGGTACTCCCAAAAACTCTTTTTAAAAAGCCAATGGAAAAAAAAAAAAGCCAAATGACCCTGAAGGGTAATCAGGCATTTGTTCATCTTAGCCTAGTTTCTAAAGTATGGGCTGGACAGTACTTACAGTATACATACAACTTTTTCTCTAGAAATTTCTAGCAGATTTTAAGGTAAATGAAAATGAGTAGGAAATGAAAAAAAAATGCATTTTCTTTTTGTCTAATTCTTGAAATATATTCTGATAAAACACAAGATACCTCGGAAGGAAGATAGAAGGTAAAGTATTTTAAGAAAATGTCCCCCTCCTCTGTCACCTCTCCTCCCTTTTCAAATCAGTTTGCTTTAGCACCAGTAAGATAGTTCAGTTCTCCTTTCTGTCAACACTATGCCAAAGTCAAAGGAAACACGATCATTTTGCTTTGGTGCAAATCTTATGGGAGTAAGTTATTTGTTCGAATAGCAAAGGTCTCCAGAGTTGGAAATTACACACAAATCCTAAAGGCTTGCGGGTGGGGGGTTATCGGGGAAACTCCTTCAAGTTTTCTTCTTGTTGTTGTTGTTTAACACATGAACAGAAAGACCTGTTTTTGTTTTTCACAGTGTGAAACCATCCTGTTTTCTTTGGGTCCAGTTCCAAAATTGGAAAATTCATAAAAAATAAATGACAAATACGCAGGATCAATCGATCTCTCGCGGGTGTGATTTTTCTTACCTGACGCGTTTTCCATAAATTACAGCAATGCTGCTCTGCTTTTAAATGAATAGACCAGCTCAATATGTCTGTCTGCAGAAGAGGAAATGAAGCATCCTGCTTGGGGCCCCGTTAGTGGATGACTTAGGACCGGCAGCTGTCAGGCGAGGCTTCTGGATTCCGAGGCTGCCGGTGTAGACAGTGGTGCTGAAAACCTTTGAAATCTGATAGAAGTCACCGGAGCCTGACCACGACCCTCCCCATCCCCTGGCTGAAGTAACGTGAACAACACAGATGCCCCCCCCCCCCCCCCCCACACACACACACACACACACGATGCTGAGGGTGATTTCAGGGTCTTCACACCTCCCTGTCCCTGAGTCCAGACCCTGATGCCCTCTCTATCAGCTCCTAGCTGTGTGATCTGGGACAAATTATTTGCTCTCTCTTCACAGCTCAACTTCCTCCTCTGAAAAATGGGTGTGTGATAATGGCCCCTGGCTGCCTTCCTTTGGATATGTCCCCAACAGTTTGATATGCTGGAAGCTTGGTCTCTAATGGAACAATACTGAGATGTGCCAGAACCTAGGAGGAGGTGATTAGGTCATGGGGCACCACTTTCATAAGGGACTAATGCCTATCTCTGGAAAATAGGTTATATCTTGCAGGACTGGATTAGTGAATGTGAAAGGATGTTGTTATAAAGTAAGGCCACTCCATATCTTTGGTTTCTTCACGTGTCTGTTTCCTCTTCTTGCTCAACATGCTCCTTTTATGTGATGCCATTCACCATCAGCATGATACAGCATGAGATTCTTACCAGATGTGGCCACAGATCTCACCTCCAGATCTGTGAGAAAAAAAAAAAAAACCCTCTCTCTTTTCTTTATAAAGTATCCAGCCTCTGTTATTTTGCTATAGTAACACAAATGAACTAAAATAATGGCTCATAAGTTTGTTTGAAATATTAAAGAAACAGATGTATCTAAGCACTTGGTATAATTTCTTGCCCATCATAAAAGCTGGCCATTCTTAGGGCATTGGTTAGTTTCCCTTTTGGGTTATGAGTTTAAGATTCCCTGGTCAAAAAGAATATTGGGTATTTTATAGTTTGTTCTATCAATTCAATGAAACAATCTCAATTATGGGTTTATGGGATAGCAGTGAAGAGTATGGATTTACTTTATACATCCATAATTACTTTAGAATTGTTAGACATTGAGAATGGAATCATGAGTTTGTATTTGTTGAAGTCTCACCTCTAGGGACATTTAATTGCTCTAATAGAAACTTCACTATCTAGAGATTCATCTGGTATGATATCAGAAGGGCATGCTCTTCAGAATTCAGTCATCCCCTAAGGCTTCGAAAATTCGCATCACAAGTGTCAGAAATGGGTTTTGATGGGTGAAGTGAGAGGCTTTGCTAGTCACAATCTTGGTTACCAGAAATAGACTCTCAATGGTAACATTGGTACATGCCTAAAATATTGCATAGGTGTTTCTCACCTGTGCAAAAACAGGCGGAAGACATCCAGTGAGGCCTGTGACCACGCCCACGGGGAGAGCGCTCATAAACAATTCCATGACCAGCTGCTAGCTCAGAGGATTTCTGGTTGTCTAATGCCAGCCCTCGGGTATCAGGGTTGGGCCTCTGCAGGAATATTGTTGCATCTGCTCTCCGGGGAATTTCATCAAGGGGTGGAATTCATCAAGCTCACAGTTGCATGAACTGTCCTCAGCTGCTTTCTGAAAGAATGTTTGTTAAGGGGAAAAAAAAAAAATGTGTGTGTGTGTGTGTGTGTTTGGGGAAGAATTTGTTCAGAGAATTGCTTCCTTAATATTATGATAATGAGGTCTGAGGACACAGCTGACCCTCACTCACCTTAAACATCTCTGTGTTGTCATAGACCCCCCAAAACGCAGGAGTCATGCATGGATTTATCTTCTCTCAATTCACAACAGGCTTGAGATAAGACAGGCTTTGGATTCCAGACGTGCTACTCCCTAGCTCTTGGACCTTAGACAAATCTCCTTACCCATAAAATGAGGAAATTAATATCATCCACTTCATTGGGTTATTAAAGAATTAAAGGAGATAATGCCTATGTGATGGTTAATTTTATGTATCCATCCGACTGGGCTAAGGGATGCCCAGATAGCTAATAAAACATTATTTCTGGGTGTGTTTGTGAGTGCATTTCCAGGAGAGATTAACACAAGAATCACTAGACTGAATATAAAAGATCTGCCCTCACCAAGGTGGGTGGGCATCATCCAGTTCACTGAGCCAAACAGAACAAGAAGGGGAAATGAAAAGCTCCTTCCTCTCCTTAAGCTCGGACATCCGTCTTCTGCCCTCAGACATCAGTGCTCTTGGTTCTGGGGCCCTCAGACTCCATGTGGCTCGTTCACCTTGCCATCACCCTCTCCCACCCCAGCTTCTCAGGCCTTCGGACTCAGACTGAACTATACCACCAGCTTGCAGACAGATGATCTTGGGTTTTCTTGGCCTCCATAGTTGTGTGAGCTAATTCTCACAGCAATCAATCAATAATCAATCAGTTGATCGATCCTATTGGTTCTGTTGCTCTAGAGAACCCTAGAAAAGCACATAGTACAGTACCTGGCTCACAGTAAAAGAAGCGTGGCCATAATGACGATCAAGTGTGTAGGAATTCTTATTTCTCCTTATTACAAATGGCTTTCCAATGTTCTCTGCCTTATTTTCCATGAAGATCTGGAGGTGTAAATTGAGACTGTATGCTCTTTGGCTTCTGTGACCTACTTTCCTCTGGTATCTTCTGCTTCTCTCCTTAGTGTCCTGCATTGCAATGACAGTTCTGTGAGATCAGAGACCTTGTCTCTTTAGTCACTGCTGAGGCCCAGCACCTAGCCCTGGGTCTGGTAATCGGCAAGGCCACAAACAAGATTTATCTATTCTATGATTCTCCTCATCACCCAGCCTCAGAACTGGGCATTCTGCTTTATGCTCTCTCTCTCTTCTTTGTTCCCCTCCAATAAAATATGCCCACCGGTTGTTGTTCCTTCATAATGTTACATCCTAATTCCATCCTAATTCCACCCTCAGTCCCTGCCTAAGTTTGGGTGCCATCTTGTATTTAGACCACTGAAATTGTCACTTATGAACTGTCTCCAGTCTACCTGGTTTCTGTCTTCAAAGTATCCTTTACAAAGCTGCCAAATTATTTCTATTAAAGTCCTGCTTTGTGCACACACGTGCGCGTGCACACACACACACACACACACACACACCACAACACATTTTTAACAACTGTCTACTGAGAGCATCCGAATCCTATAGACCAGCAACTAAAGTCTCCATCACCTCACTCAGGAATCTTCTTTGAGGGAATCCTTCCCTCCGACCAGAATGTTTCCTCATTATTTCCAACCATGCCTGCAGTCCCAGCCTTTGTTCACAGTCTGGCGTCTCTGAAACTTTTCCACCAAATTCTCCCTGGATGACAGAGGAGGGTTGACCTTGATGTAGTACCTACCAGGAGATGCTGCTTTCAAGTGTTGTGTTTCCTATTAAGAACCCATGGGGGGCTGGGGTTGTAGTCAGTGGAAGAGCGCTCACCTTGCACGTGCAAGGCCCTGGGTTGGATACTCAGCACCACATAAAGATAAATAAATAAAACAAAGGTATTTAAAAAAAAAAAAGCTTTGCAGTTCTGTCTCATAATCTATCCATGTTTGTTTTAATATATAAACATTTTAAATCATAGTCATCCAGCAATGTTGGAAGGGTCCAATCTCCTGCATCAGGAAGATGTGTGGGGTTAAGCCTGTGGCTTTGTGCATCCTTTATGGTTCCCACTCCTGAGCTCTGCTCTTCCTGCATCACCTCTGCCAGACCCACCCACAGTCTTTTCTCCTGGGCCTCGGTGAATCTCCTCCTCCGGATCCCTGACTGGCTTCTAGGTCCATGCTGCTAGTGCCCCCCACTAACTGACAATCTTTTCATCCACAATAATGTTCCCCCAAATAGAAGGTAGCCTCCTTGAGACAAGGACCCTTAGTCACACCAGCTTTATTCCCTCTGATGTAGCACAGAGCTTTGGAAACAAGCAACTCTCAACAATGCATCCTCTATGCCTTGTGTGCTTTCAAGTGCCTCTTTAACATTTCCATTTTATATTGATTTTTTTTCCTTTTCTCCTCTTAATTTCCTACCCCTCTTTCATAGCACTGCCTTCTCCTTTCTCAAGTCTGAGTGAACCAAACACCATGTTCTCGCTCCCTGATAGGAGCTTTGCTGATGTTTTGCTTTAAAAGGCTTCAAACGGAACAGTAAAACGAGTAATAAGAGTCATAAATAATGCCTCTTTTTTGTAGCATTTCATCAAGGTCAGGACTTGTGCTCAGCGCTTTATTTGCCTTGTTTCATAACACACCAGCTGGGAATCCCTCACCAAGGTAAAGTGGAACATTCTAGAAAAATACATAAGCAATTCTCAACTTCCTGATGACCTACTTCCTTTCTCTGTCTGGCCTCTCCCAGTTAATGCCTGGGTGGAGCCCTACCACATAGGAGAAGCGAAGGCAGGAAACTCATGGAAGGAGGGCTTCAGAGTAAGGGTTAAAATGAGGTGAAGGTCAGGCATTAGCTGTGCTTTCCGTGGTCCCCATTAACCCAGGTGATTGAAAGGGGAGATGGAAATGATGTGTCAGCCAAAGCCAAAGTGACTCTCCTCCTCTCAGCAGACACCCACTACACACACACACACACACACACACACACACACCCTTCCCTCCAGCCCCTTCCCCCAGTCTTTTTCTGAGGCTGAAAATCGCAAGGACTATCCAGCCCTGCAGTGTCAATCACAGCAGCCAGAACCATTTTAATTTGTCGCTGGTCAATGCATTAAGTTTAAACATAATTTGGGAGTATTTGAGTCCATTTGGGCTGCTATAATAAAGTATCATAGATGGCTTGTAAATGACAGAAATTTTTGTCTCACAATTCTTGAGGCTGGAAGTCCAAGATCAAGGTACTGACAGCTTTGGTATCTGGTGAGATCCTGTTTATTGGTAGATAGATGAAGCCCCCTTGCAGCGTCCTCATAATGTAGAAGGGGCAAAGGAGCCCACTTGGGCCTATTTTGTAAGGCATCTGTCCCATTCATGAGGACTCCATTGACCTAATTATTCTGCAGAGGTCCCCAACTCCTAATGCCATCACCTTGGGGGTTAGGATTTCAACATAAGAATTTTGGAAGGACACAAACATTCAGATCCTAGTAAGGACACGGGGGGGGGGGGGGGGGGGGCTGGGGATATAACTCAGTTGGTAGAGTGATTGCCTTGCATGCATAAGGCCCTGGGTTCAATTCCCAGCACCACTACCTCCAAAAAACAATAGTAAGGACAGAGGGAGATTATAGTATTGGCACATGGTCCCCTGTCTCCAGGTAAGAAAAGGCTTTTCCAGACAGTCACTGTGGCCGCATTATGGCTGCCACCACATTATCACTAAGTACCCAAATGTATATGCACCAAAGGTTCTTTCTTTTGCCCTCTGGCTGATTGACTGAGCAGCTATTTAGTAGTTTGAATTCTCAGAAGACTTATATTTTATTGTGTTTATCAGTGGATTCCATCTGCTAATAACAAACCCATTTTTGCAGTCACTTCTCAACTACTTAAGCCAATTTTTATTAAACCTGTTTCCAAACATTATCAGAAGGAGTTGATATTTTCAATCCAGGAAACCTGCCCTGATTTCTTTTAGGCCAATGTGCATTTGCAGGACTCTGGTCAATTTTAACACATAGGCTCCATGCAGACAATATGTGCTACCCATGAGCACCGCATCCAAGACTTTTTCGAGGCTAACAAGAAAAAAGGAAGCTACACGTCTCCTGGGATTCTGGTCTATTGACGTGCCAAGCCAAATTTTTAATTTGGAGAGCAGTTCTGCAGAAATGAACAGATACTCCTCTCTAAACATTTTAATAAGAATAACCCCCCGAGCCAATATGCAATTGAATGCATTGCTTTCTAGTAATTTCATTTATACAACCGCTCCACAAGCTGTTTCTCTTTCCATATTCAGATAACCCTAGCCTCTAGGGTGACTGTAAAAATGATATTTTAATAATGTGCCACATCTGTGATCAGAAATACTTAATGAAACACTCTCATGATCATAGGGTAACAAGCTTCAAAGAACTATTTTCCAGATTTAGGTAGGACAGGTATGTTGTTTGTGGTCACTTTCTTAGGCCAATTTTTCCATTTGTCTGCAAGAAATCATGCCTAAAGATGAGTGTTTAGCCCAGCCTTTGTTGAAGCCGTGAGGACTTGCCAGCTCTGGGGAACTTATAGATCAGCACCTCCAACAGGACCATAAGGCAAGCTGCATGTGTTGTTTAAGATTTTCTAATAGCCACATTAAGCAAAATACAAAGAAACCCATGAAATTACTTCTGATAGTACATTTTGCTTAACAGTGTATATTTAAAAGAATACCATTTTGTATTGTTTAATTAATGCAGAAAACATTCTAATGCAATATTTTGCATTCATTTCTTTCCATAGTGTCTTCAAAATCTGGAGTGCATTTTACATCTCTGTTTAGAGGAACCAGATTTCATGAGCTAGGGAGCCAAGTGGACCAGTAGCCACAGGGAGTATGCTAAAGCGAACACACGCAGAACTAAGGCCTGGGGAGAGAAGTCCCAGAAGTGAGGGTGGAAGGGAGCAGGGATTCCACTCCCTACCTGGAACTCTGAAGACAGGAGTCTGACCACCACGTGGTGTTTACCTCTGCTTAGAGAAGGTGTCTCCAGTTTAGGAGCTCTGTGCCTGAGGCCCTCCTCTTTCCTAATTAGGAAGCAACTCTCCCTCCATCTTAACCCCCTGGTATCCTCAGCCACTACCTTGCCCCCAATCACACCAAGGTCAGCCATGAGTCATTTCCTCTCCTAGCTCTTTAGAGGTGTCATGGTCAGTTTGAACAGCATAGCATCCAACAGCTAAGGTGTTACCAGGTTTCATTAAGCATATTGTGGCCTAGCCCCCTTTTAGGAAAACAGATTCATCTTGGTTCCCCAGGACCATCCCAGTTTTAAAATAGAATACCTCGAGTGATGCCCATAATCCCAGCAACTCAGAAGGCTGAGGCAGGAGAATCGAAAATTCAAAACCATCATCAGCAACTCAGCAAGACCCTGTCTCAAAACAAAACAAAAAAAGGGCTGGGATGTGGCTCAGTGGTTAAGCACCCATAGGTTCAATCCCTGGTGAAAAGGAAGAAGAGGAAGAGGAAGAAGGAGGAGGAGGAGGTGGGAGGGGGAGGGGAGGGGAAGGGGGAGGGGAGAGGGAGAAGACCCCACATCCTAGGAAATCCCTCAGTCCAGGGCAAATTGGGGTGAGTGATCACCTTATTATCTATCCTCCAAACCAAGTCCAGGCAGGAGAAGGCCTAGTGTCCACCCCACCCTACCACCTGCCTTGCCTTTTCTGTCACCAAGAAGAGGAATGCCTGGCTTGGATATTAGGGTCCTGCTCCTAGAGGGCAAGAGCAGAAGCAGCTATCCTAAAGCAGTCAGTGCTAACAATCCGGCTGGATGAGGTGGACAGTGCAGGCCCAGTGCCAGGAAGAACCTCAGCCTGGACCATCAGAATGACCTGAGGAGCCAGGTCCACTGGGGGTCTGCTGTGATTTGTGAATGTGTCCTCCAGAGTTGAATTGTTGGAAACTTAATCCCCAGTGTGAGAGTATTGAGCGGTGGGACCTTGAAGACGTGATAAATGTTGCTATCAGGAGTGGGCTCATAGTCAAGGGAGTGGATTTCTTATAAATTCATCCCTCTCTTGATCTCTCTGGCATGTGCTCTCTTGGGTGCTGCAGCAATAAGGCCCTCACCAAGGGCTAGCCCCTCAACCTTGGACTTTCCAACCTTCAGAACTATAAGAAATCTCTTCTTTATAAGTTACCCAGCCTCTGGTATTCTGTTACAGTAACACAAAACAGACCAAGACAGAGCCTCTCCCTTGAACTGAGAGGTCTTCTTGTCCTGAGGGTTACACAGGAGGCCCAGTGATCCAGACCTCAGACTGCACCTGTTTCCATGTTCAACCAGCCCCACTCCCCCATGGGCAGCTCAGGGAGAGCTTACAGGGAGGTTCAGGGCCTTCCTAAGATTGTGATCATCATGATACTCACTAGGGGACTGAGGCAAACCATCCTATTGCTGGTTGCCTCAACTGAAGCTCAATCTTAAGAGTTTAACTCCCCTCCAAGAGCTGGCTTTTCTCTGCTGAGTGTCCTGGATGTTCGCACCCTATGTGTTAGTCAGCTTTTCGTTGCTATGACCAAAATACCTGACAAGAATAACTTAGAGAAGGAAGTTTATTTGGCTCACAGTTTCAGAGGTTTAGTCCAGAGTTGGCCAATTCCATTGCTCTGGGCCCAAGATGAAGCAGAAGATCATGGGAGATGGATGTGGCTGCTCCCTTCAAGGCTTCCAGGAAGCAGAGAGAGAGAGGAAGTGGCTGCAGGGAAGATGAACCCATCCAGAGCAGACCCCCAGTGACCCACCTCCTCCAGCCATGCCCCACCTGCCTACCGTTACCACCCAGTCAGTCCGTCCAAGCTAGGATGGACGGATTAGGTCACAGCTCTCACAATCGAATCACTTCACCTTCCATCATCCCTGCCTCAACACAGGGACTTTTAGGGACACCCCATATCCAAACCCTAACATCCCCCCATCTTCTAGCTGTGCTTAGGATGCCAAGAGGCATCAAGTGTGATGGTGGTTGGATCACTACAAATCTACCCACAGGCTGAGCGTGGTGGCACATGCCTGTAATCCCAGCAGCCTGGGAGGCTGAGGAAGGAGGATCACAAGTTCAAGGCCAACCACAGCAATTTAGTGAGACCCTAAGCAACTTGGCAAGACCCTGTCTCTAAACAAAATATAAAAAGAGCTGGGGATGTGGCTCAGTGGTTAAGCACCCCTGGCATCAATCCCCAGTACCAAAAAAAAAAAAAAAAATCTACCCACAATAACGGGAAACGGTTCAATATGCATCTTTTATTAAATACAACCAGCAATTTATGAACTCACCCACCCATTATTGTTTTGTCCAGCCACTATTTGGAGGCACCTGGCATCATCTTAGGCTCTCACAGGGGAATTATAACACATTTTTAAACTGCATAATACGGTAAGTATTGGGCACGATGCTAGCATAAAAAGATGCCAACCTAATCCATACAGGGTGTTTGTGGTGGCAGGTACTTTATCAATAGAAGACTCTTTAGGAGGCCTATCTTTCTATAATCTGGGTAGTGTCTCTTTTATTATCATCATTTATGTTGAAGAAAACAAACTAGGAGTTCCTCTATAAAGATACACCCCCCATAAATGAGCCATCAGCCTAAAACTTGTCCATGCATTTTATTTCAGGAAAACATGTATCTGGTCACAAGACATCTGAATGACAATCTGGGGGCCACGCTACCGGCAAGGGGCAGAGCCGACTCGAAATTCTTTTCTTCCCGGAAAAGCAAGGTTAACTGAAGCTTCAAAACCCAGATGGCCATTAGATTTACAGCTATGTAGAGGGGAGCAGAATCCTTTAGAGGGCTGAGTTATGAGGCCTTCTAGGTATTGATTAGATGAGAGCAGCAGCCCATATTCAGCAGAGAGTTAGGGAATGAGAAGCAGAGGGGAGATGGTGGTGGTTATGGTCTTTATGTAGTTTTCAAAGTCACTTCCGAAAAAGAGGATGAGGTAATAGTTGAGTATACCAGCCAGGGACATGAGGAGCAGGAACAGGATGATGCGCTTCCCAAATATGTAGCCAGGGGTGCTGAAAAGAAGAGAGGAGAAAAAAGTATAGACACAGCCCAAGTGACACCCATTTCCCAAAAGCATGTCATCGCTTTCAGCCTCGTGGGGTCTGAATTATAGCTCCTTTGGCTCCGCAGTGCTCCCATTTACCCATTTCCTTTATACAAAGGGTGGAAGTGTCCTGGATGTTATTAGTCGTTGAACACATTTCAAAGCCAAGGTGAAGGAGCCCAGACCTCAAAACCCATCATCATTAGAGCTCAGTGGCGCCGGCTTCTCTGCACTCTCCCATGTCCTTAATGCCAGCCCCTTGACAGCGGGAGGGTGGCGGGTCCTGCTGGTTGGCAGGCAATCTCACCAAGGGTTAGGAACACCATCAACTCATTAAAACCCTCTCTACATGGGCCCCTCTCCAGGAGGGTCTATAAGACCCATGCTGGGGCTAGTGGCCGTGTGTATGATGCAGGACTGTGTTAGGAGTCATGTTTTAAATGAGCCTGCAAAGCCGGTGGAATCTCAAAGGTGCTTCGGCATCTGAGAGTTCCATCTCTTCCCCTGAAGAATGATTCATGTTTGCATTAATGAGAGCTGAGCACCCCCCTACCCCGTGGGAAACAGGACCTTACTATTTTGAGTGGAGGAAGAGGGACTTTTTAATACATTCAGATCTTTCTCTCAAAGGCTCAAAATCCTAAGCTGCTTAGGCAGATCATCAGCTGGGTCAGGAGGCATTTCCCCAGTGAGAGGTAACCACCTAATTGCAGGCAGAGGCTGCCCTTGAGGCCTCTCTCCTGACGGCCGTGTCTGGGCCCATCTACATGGAGCTAGCATCTCTGGAAAGTCCTGTCAAGTGGACTTGTTAGCAAAGACCCTGGCAAGGGGCATCCTCTGGTAATCAGGAACACTCACAGAGACCAGCCCACTTGCCTAATGGATGAGTTAATGCCTCTACAACCTGTTTCTTGCCGGACTCAGAGAAAGAAAGCAGAATTTGGCCACCCCAAAGGTTCATAGTATAACTCAGAATTTTCCTACAGCAAAAGTTTGGAAGTCACTCAGCAGTTAAGTGTCCACCTCTTTGTTACTCAAAGTGTGGTCCGTGGACCAGCAGCAGCAACTTCTGCCTGTCAGAAATGGAAAATGGCAGGTACCTGTCAGACCCAGGGAATCCAAAGCTGCACTTCCACAAACTCCCTGTACAACTCAAGGACACGTAAGGATTTGAAAAGCACCACTGGCCCGTGCCACCCCTGTTCCTGGCCAGCTTTGTTCTTGTCTCCTTAGGTCCCTGTTCACAGTCCTGCTCAGGAAGTGGGGGCATCCAACTCCTTACCAGGGAGCAAAATTGGTCCCAAATGAAAGTATTGTGGCCGAATTGTGTCACCATCAAATTGTGTCACCAATAAATGTTAAGACTGAAGTCTTAACCCCCAGTACCTGAGAATCTGACTCTGTTCAGTGGCAGGGTCTTTCTTTACTAATATTTTAATTGAAAAATAATAATTGTGTCTACTTGTGGGGTACGATGTGATGTTTTGCTCTATGTATACCTGGTAGAAAGATCTACTCAAGCTAATTAACATATCCGCCACCTCACCAACTTTCCTTTTGTGTGTGTGTGTGTGTGTGTGTGTGTTGAGGTTGTTAAGAATCTATTCTTAGCAATTTTGAAATGCACAATACATTATTATTAACTGTGATTGCTGTACAATACAACAGATGAGTAAAAACTTCTTCCTCCAGTCTAACTGAAACTTCATACCCTTTGATCAACAACTCACCTTTCCCCAGCCCTCCCAGAGATAGCATCTGTAAAGAGGCAATGAGATAGAATGAGGTCGTACGGGTGAGCCCTCATCTGTGCAGACTGCTGTTCCTACAAGAAGAGGAGAGTAGCACACAGACAGGTACAAAAGGAAAAACATGCACACTGGGAGAAGATGGCCATCTACAAGCCAGGGAGAGAGGCTTTAGAGAAAGCAAAGCTGCCCGCACCTTGACCTTGCACTTCCAGCCTCTAGGACGGTGAGACAGTACATTTCTGTTATTTAAGCCACCCGGTCTGCAGTGTTTTGTTACGGCAGCTCCAGGGAACCAAGACAGGGAGCCACCTGCTAGCGCTGGTAAAGGAAGGAGAAGAAAATAAAAGGAGTCAACACAAGGGATATTTTTAACTAGAGAATAAAGGGTTCTGAGAAATTAAATTGTGACAAGTCAAATACTGTCCTGGCTCTGATCTATCTAGCACAGGAATGAGGCCACCATATGCTCATTCCAGAAGCAAGAAAAAGTGATTTGCTGACTCATTTTGTGTTTGAGCTAAAAACGCAGTGAAAGGTGAAATAGGGGTGTTCTTGACTTTAGGTAAAATTTGTTCAAAGTTCTCAAGACACGAGCTCCTGTGGGAGCCAGGATCAGGGTACTATCACTAGTCCCAGGCAGAGTGTGGAAGGCAACCGCTCAGTCCAGGGCTCCATCACCTTCAGAGCTCAGTGAAGAGGGGCCCAGTCCTGGGAGGTGGGCACGGCGTGCAGAGGTGGGAGCTTAGGCAGACCACCCAAGGAAGCCTAAAATGACACAGAGGGCAGAAGTGGCTGCTGGGGGTCTAGGCAGTGGCCACGCAGCCCTTGAAGAACCCAGATCTCTCTTTCATTGTTTCTAAAAGTTGATACATAATTCTCTCTAAATGTATGGAGAAAGTAAGAATTAAATTATTAAGCATCTGTTGGAGTCAGGTGTTTTATATCCTTGTCATTTAATTCTCATGACCACTCTGAAAATGTGTTGTTAACCTATTTTCCTACTGGTGAAACCAAGAGCAGAGAAGTTGAGTGATTTGCCTCAGATCACACAGCCAGGAAAAGGTAGAGTAGGGACTGAAACCTGCCTGTCCGAGGCTGCAGTCCTGCTTTTTGTACCATAGTGACTTCCTGGAGACTCCTTCAGACTTTGGAGGCTGGGATTTGGTTTTAGTTTCGAAACAAATCGGCCCACCTCGAGCAGCATGAAGCTTACATGGAAATATAAAAGAGGTATTATGCTAAACAATTTCCATCTGGACTGTGCTGGCAATCTCTAGGATAAGGTGGGAGATACATGGCAGGGTGTCCTACCCACCCACTGGACCAAGAATGAGACCAGAACTCTACAGTGGACAGGGCCAAAGCAACTTCTGGGAAGGAGCAAGAGAAGACCTGGAGCCCAAAAGAGAAGATTCTCATGAGCTGGATCCTCCCAGATTGGTGAGGCCAAGAGCAAAGGAGTTCCCAAGAGCACCAGGACACAATATGTCTGTAGAGTCGAACACAGCCCACAGGACAGATGGGGACTTGGGTGGAGGTGGGTCCTAAACTGAAGAGGATATTAGCAACTAATTTCTAGAGAGTAGAATTGAAAATCCTCTTGGACTTAACCATAGAGACCCTTGGTCATGCGTCCACCTCAGGCTATATTTTGGTCTAGAGTAGGACTACGCCTTTCTTCTAGTATCTATCACTTCTATCGATGACTGCTGCTCAGAACTGAGTTAAGGATTCTGGAACCAGGTTTGGTCTCAGCAAGAAAGAGCCCTAACGGTGGGAAAGTAAATTAGTATAGCCATTAGGGAAAACATAATGGAAGCTCTTCAGAAAATTAGAAATAGAACTACCAGATGACCCAGGAATCCCACTATTGGGTATGAATCCAAAGAACTGACACTGTTATGACACAGACACCTCTGTACTCATATGTTTATTGCAGCACTATTCACAACTACCAAGATATGGAATCAGCCTAAGGGTCCATCAATAGATGAATGGATAAAGGGAAGGGGGTATGTGTGCACACAGAGTATTATTCAGCCACAAAAAAGAATTTGCAGCAACATAAATGGAACTGGAGAGCACTATGCTTAGTAAAATACAGGCACAGAAAGATGACTATCAAATGTTCGCACTTTCATGTGGAAGTTAAAACAACCTCAAAGAAGTAGAGAATAGAATAGCAGTTACCAGATCCTGGGAAGAATTTGGGAGAGATGGGGTGGAGAGAGGATATTTACTAGGTACAGAAGAACCATTGGAAAGGAGGAATAGTCCTAATATTCTACCACAAAGGGGGAAAGCTATGGCTGACAAGAATTAATTAAACCTCTCAAAGTAGCTAGTAAAAGAGGATTTTGAATGTTTCCACAACAAAGAAATGATGAATATTTGAGGTGATGGATATGCCAACTTTGTGTACATGTATTAAAAATCACACTATATTCTATAAATATGTACAATGAATATGCATCCATTAAAAATAAAAATATTTTTAAAAGAAGGGAAATAAAAGAAGGAAGGAAGGGAGGAAGTAAGAGAGGAGAGATGAAATAGCTCATGCCTGTAAGTCCTGAGACATGGGAGGCTGAGGCAGGAGGACTGCAAGTTCAAAGCCAACCTCAACAACTTAGCAAGGCTGTAAGCAACTTAGTCTCAATATTAAAAAAAAAAAATTAAGGACTGTGGATGTATGTATCTCAGTGGTAAAGTGCCCCTGGGTTCAATCCCCAGTACAAAGAAAGAAAGAGAGAGAGAGAGAGAGAAAGAAAGAGAGAGAGAGACACTATTACACATCAGTGGTGCCCACCATGGCTACAGGGGAGGTGAAGAGGGCTTAGAACATGCACCCCCTGGGAGGGCATTAAAATGGGATTATTTTACCACCATCTCATGAGAGACACCCCAGGGGACATTTGTATTTCCGTGAAGTCCAGAGAAACCGAATATTTTAAGATTGACTGTGATTCCATATCCTACCATTTATCTTCACCAATATCTATACATGGCCTAAGAGTGATCAGTGAACACCACCTTTAATATTAAAAGGGCCTGTGGGTAGCTGAACAGATGTCATGCCTCACAGATTGCCCCGGAATTAAAGCAGCCATCGTATTTCAATCAAGTGGTGTCAGAAGATCAGTAACTGAAGGGGTAGGGGGACCGGGCTGCATAGGGAACCAGCCCAGGAGAGGGGAGCCTTTCACATCCTTGCTGGACAGCCTGCCCCCCTCCACTGGTAACAGCAGGTAACCATCTGGGGAAAGGCCTGATAGATGCTTTCTGGGGTGAAAGAGAATGAAAGGTATCATTTAAGACAGTGTTGAAGAAAAACAGGGTAGTGGAGCTGGGGTTGAGAGGAGGAATGAGAACACCTCCCCACAGCGGGGAGAGTGGGGGAGAAGGGCCACAGAATGGTGGACACGTCCTCCTGGCTACAGCCCAGCTCACCATCAACTCCCTCAAGGCACGGAGCTTCCCAGGTGACCAGCCTCCCCCTATGTAGCACTTTCAGCTGCCAAAGTCCCCGGATGTCACTCTACTCTCACCACTGAAGGATGCCTGTCTAAAGGGACAGCCCGCAACCCAACCACTAGAGAAAGGGTGCTATTGTAACAGGAGGGAAGTAAAGTAGACGAGGAGGACAGGGAGGACTGGGAGCGGCACAGTGGGTGGCAGGCTCTGGGAGACCTCCAGACTTCCAGGAACTCCTGCCTCTAAGAACTGGTGTCAAACTGTGACCCAAAATGCCTTGTCGTCACTATCAGAGCTTATTGTATCCAGGTTTCCCAATCTGGGTGACCTGGAAGTATAGGGCTGCTTTGGGGCTTCCTTTCTGGAAGCTTCTGTAAACAATGCAATGGTGCTTCTATCCACAATCTCCTTGCTGGGATTCCCTGCATCTTATGTTCTTAGCATCTTTTGTGCTGGTCTCCAAAAGATCTGGGGGACTTACCATAAGGGGAAAACTTTAGATTCATTTCTCTAGACCAGCAATGAACTGTTTCACACAAAGGAGGCCTGGAAAGCCAGACAGAAAAATTCATCCCAGTCCCAGACCCGGAAGGGTGGGAAAGCACCCTGGGTCAATGCAACACCAGGCAGAGGAATGTTCAATGGGGAAACCAGATGAGTCTGTGCCTTCAGAGCCCTCAAAATGCAGGGAGACCCAGATGTGAGATCTTAGTCACTGCTCAAAAGGCACGTTTGAAAAGCATGAATCCCTTCATGGTTCTTCAACAGTCCCAGTGACCTACCTCTGAGTCCTCTCCCCCAGGTAGCCGACAAAGTACTTCTGCCTCACGAACAGGTACATTAGTCCAGCGAAGGAAGCAGGAACTGAGTGGAGATGGGGAGACACCTGCGTCAGTTTCACCGTCACCCAAACATGCACTGTTAGCACAACAGCAATGCAGACATCACCAGCAACACTGGTCACAATGTCCAGTGGAGGCCACAAGTTCCAGTGGTGGAGGCTGGTATGGACTTCAGGCTGGGAGAAACTTGAGAATTTGAACAACAGCAGTATCGCCTCACACCAGCCCCCATGGGGACTGTGTGGATTCCTACAGAATGTTTGCCTATCCACCATTGGATGTGAACCCTTTGGATATAACTGGGATCAACATGCCTACTTCTAGATGTGGAAAATTGGACTCGGGTGGTCAAAGGGGCTTGTATAAGGCTGGCAGCTGGTAAAGAGAGAGGAGAAGGACTTGACCCCCAAGCCCAGACCTGAGGTTGCTTCTCTTGAAAGCACATCTTTCCCACCCCCCAACCCCCAACCGGGGTTCCCAGCAGCACAATGCTTAACCTCTCCTGGAAAATTGCTCCTGATGATCTCTAGGAAAGAAGATTCCCTTTCCATTCTAGCCCCTTGGGAAACAGCCACAAGCAGCACCCCAATAACCCCACAGAGTGCTGAACTTGGGGTGGGGAGTTGGAAACCCAGCTCCACTAGGACTAATTTATCCGGTACATGCGTTGAACATGTTCTACATGTGGACCAAAAGCTGATTATAGCTTTCCCACCTCTGAGGAATTAATGTGAGAGTGAAATGCGGCCATTGATATAAAAATGATTTGGAAATCTAAGCACTATTCAAATGACAAATTAACTGCCATCAATGAGCACTTTTTACATGCCAAGCATCTCCAGGCATTCTGGAAACTTGGATTCCAACCCTCCCAGCCACCTGCTGGTAAGAACCACTTCATTGTCACTATACAACAGAAGAGGAAATTTAGGTTCAGACCAAAAGATCTGTGAGGACAGCTGCCTTTTGCTAGATCACTCTGTGCCTAGAATAGTGACTGGCACATATAATAGGCATTCAAAATATATTTTTCAAATGAATGAAAAAAAAAAGTCAGGCAAGTAATCTCAGAGGTGGAATTTCAAACCAGGTCCTCTAATTTCAAGCATCACCACCAGCAGCACCACTGATAATAACATCTACTATAGCTGGATACAGTGATGCACACCTGTAATCCCGGCCACTGGGGAAGCTGAGCAAGAGGATCACAAGTTTAAGGCCAGCCTCAGCAACGTAGCGAGACCCTGTCTCAGAATTCTAAAAAGTGCTGAGGATGTCACTCAGTGATAAAGTGCCCCTGGGTTCTATCCCCAGTACAAAAAATAATGAATAATAATAACATTTACTGAATTTCCATTGTTAAAGTGAACCATACAAAAGTGCCATTTGTGGGTCATAAAAAGTCAGGTATTGGAAGGTTTTATTTTTTTTTTTTTTTCAGTTTTTTTAGTTGTAGATGGACACAATGCTCCTACCTATTTATTTTTCTGTGCTGAGGATCAAATCCAGTGCATCACACATGCCAGGCAAGCGCTCCACCACTGAGCCACAACCCCAGCCCTGGTCTAGGCAGTTATAAGGCTCAATCTGGCATTCGCCAAGCACTGTGTCAGGGGCCTTATGCAAATCATCTCCTTTCCTCATCACAGGTATGCAACAGGTGGACCATGGTCCTGTTTGACAATGAGGAGTCTGAGGCATAGAGAAGCAGAGTTACAGCCTGGGATAGAGAAGCAGAGTTACAGCCTGGGTCACACACCAGCAATGAACATCCTTGGATTTGCTTCCAATCTGTCACTCCCCAACATCCAATTCTTTCCACCACTCTACCTGCCTTACAAAACATAATTGTTATGTTTTGTAAGACAGATAATACAATTGGAACACAAAAGAACTGTTATTCTCTGGAAGTCAGGAGATTGCCACCATCCATGATTTGCTTTGGACCAAGTTTTCCCACCTGGATGGCTGGGTTTTCATTTACTGACCCATTTCCCTTTTGATGGGAACTCAATTGAACATGAGAATAGAAATCAGGAGTGGAAAGGCTCTGTACCCATTGCCCTGCTCCAGGGAATGGCAGGGGCCTCCCGTGGGAACCTGAACCACACAAAGGTGACAAATCTGGGATCTAAAATTCTGAGGTTTCAGCAAGCCACTCGTCCCTCTGGGGCTTGGACTCCTGCTCTGGAAAGTGAGGGGTTTGGATCAGAATAATCTCTAGGGTTTTTTTCAGCTAAAAAATTCCATACTGTACTTTATTCATAAGAAATGACAATTATCCACCAGGGATGACTGATGGTTTCTAGTCCTGGAAATGCCAATGTTTGTTTTGACAGGAGATGCATATTTCCAGGCTCTGAAAAGTCTTCAAACTCCCTTTGTGTTTACCTAGCTAGCACTACTGTAGATTCATCTCCATCAAGTATCATTTAGGACATAAAAGGAATCATAACTCCTAGTATAAGCATAGTTTGACTTGATTTTTCAGGTAATGCCAGACATGTTTCTTACTTCACTCCAGATAGAAAATAAAACATATGTGTTGAGCTTACTGGCGGCCTTCCAGGCCCAGGAGGTACACAGGGTCCCTTAAGTGGCTTCCACTGTCTATCCCACCCCTCCATCCGGCATGGCGTGTCTCACTCTTGTCAATAATGCATCTGTTCACCTACTTTTCTATGTCCATCTTGACAATCAGTAATGAGCTTCACCACCATCCCTGTTTTATTTATCCCTATACATTCAGGGGGTATAGTGTAAATTCAGTGTGTACTTATTATACAAATAAAAAAAAAGTAAGAAGATACTTGTGAATTTAGAACTGAAAAACCTGAGCTCTGATTCACTCTGTGTGGCTCAGAGTTGAGAAACCCCAAACAAATGACTTAACTCCTGTGCCAAAGTGTCTGCAAAGGTAATAGGGGGGGGAAAAAAAAAA